TCATGCACAGAGATGGGTAACTTAGATATATTTAATATACATTTTCTCTAATATTCTCATACTATTAAAAAATTATGAACTCCGGGATCTATCCTGTTTCAGTGTTTCTGTGCACGGACTTACCTCTTCAATTCTTTTTCATAAGACAATATACATACTGCTGTTGGCATATACAAACGGTGAGGTCGAAATTTAGCACATGTGTTAACAGTGGCGGATTTGGAGTATAAATTTTGAGTGTCCAATGTTCTTTTAATAGACATTTAAAGGGTAATAAATAAATATAATAAAATTTATACATATATATACCTACAATTTTTTTACAAAAACTGGGTGTTCATGTGAACTAGTTTGAACAAGTGTGGCTCCGCCACCGTGTGTTAATGGTAACTCAATGGCCGGAGAAGGTTGATTTTGTTGTTAAACTTCTAGATGCCAACCAACCATTTTGTTTATGTGAAATTTGCCGATATGATAGAGGGAGATCAAATTGTGTTGGTCTATATCCATGGTCAATGAATGACATATATGTAGTGCAGCATATTGAATATTGATATACTCCGGGTATGAGTTAGTACTCGATCCCCATCCCTATGCCGCTATATCTCCCGGAAATGTGTTGGGCCACTAAAAATTAAATGTTAGTGTCTCTATGATTCTTGGAACAGATCTGAAGGTCGATTCCGGTTCATGCATGCATACATTAATGAGATAATTCCCTAAATGGGAGTAAAACATAACTAAAGTGCAAAAGTAGGAGTCCTATCTCCCGTAACATTGAATAGGAGTAAAAAATTATGAGCTGACCAAATTACCCTTAATGAAACCTTTATATGTTTATTACATTATAAAATAGAATAATAAACATTGAACTGTTCTTCCGTGCAAAAAATCTGACACCAACACCACCCCGCATATACATTGACGCTGCTGCCAGATATCACTGCCTTGAATCTCCGCCTTCGCTGGACATCACTGCCACCGCATCTCCGCTGTTGCCTCCGCCGATGTTGCCGCTAGTCATCTCCATTGCCTCTGGTCTCCGGCGTCGCCATCTCTGTTGCTGCTAGTCACCGGCGCCGGCGCCGCCACCTCATCCACTGCCGCCACCGGAATATGTTTGGCTTGCTCCGGTCACCCATACCTCTTCCACCTCTACCACCACCCTCAGATCTGGAAGTTTTAAAAGACCATTTGACATTCATATGTGTTAAAACACAAGTAAATTAATTGTCATTTGGACATTGTAATGGCATTATGAATATTGTATTGGCTATTGTCAAATATTGCCATCTGTCATATGGTTAGAATGGCAAAAAAAATGGCATTATTTGCAAAAAAACAACATTTTCTATGAAAAATATGGCATTATTAGCCATGTGTTTGCCAAGGAGTTACTATCACAAAAATGACACTATGTGCCAAAAAATACTTCTACAGCGAAAACACGTCACAAAAAATGACACTGTTGTATTTACAAAGAAATACTCCGTACTATTGCTTAAAAAAAAGGAATAATATTTTATTCCAAATACAATAAAAGTTAATACCAAGTAGCAATTACACCAATTTCTTATTCAACTTACAAAACTGAAAAAGTACAAAAATATTGTTTGAAACCAAATCTCAAAAATTATATCTATAGTGTAAAATATAAATCAAATATAAAAAGAATAAAATCTAAACAAAATTGAAAGAGAGAACAAAAAAGAAAAAAAAACGGACAAAACAAATCTAGATGGAATGGAATAGATCTGGAGAGATAGAAGAAAACTAATTAAAGCAAATTCAAATTATAAAAAAAATGGGTTTTGTAATCCGGCAGCCAAATTAACTTCACCCAACATAAGAGAAAGAGTCATCCCCACCGCCGAGAAAATCAAAGAAAAGAGAAGAAAAAAAGAGAAGAAGAAGGAGAAGAGGAAGAAGAAGAAGAATGAAAAAGAGGAGAAGAAGATAAAACTTACCTACGATGCTTGCCGCCGCTTGCCAGTGCCGGAATTGGGGAGAAAATTCTCCATTCAAAATAAAAATTGAGAACTGAAAGAAGAAACCAGATCTAAAAAGTAAAAATAGATGGGAGAGGTGAAGAGAGAGAGGGGGGGATCGATGTTGCGTACAGAGAGAAGGGCAGGGGTTAGTTGTTGCGTGAGAAATGATTCTGATAGAAGAATAAGTAAATTACGGAGTAATTAATTTATAAAAAAGGGTATAATTGGCATATCAAACGGACCGTTCAACACATAGCTCCTGTTTAGAGAATAAATGAATAAGGACTCCTATTTTAGCATTTTGTTAATGTTTTACTCCCATCTAGAGCAATTACTTTACATTAATTAGATGTGCTCTCCAATGTTCTTTATTGTTTGATGAATCATTCTTGCAAACATAATTATTTTAATGTATATACGTAGTAAAATTATTAAAATTATGTAGCAAAAACAATTCAATTTTTATGGGAGAATTATTATCATTACCATCATATTTATTATTCTATTTTTTTCTCGTATTATTATTATTATCATTGTTGTTGTTTTTATTATTATTAATCTAACGCTTTGAGAAGTTAAAAAAATTGAAGCTTTGAAGATGTGGAATTCCAAGAGTTTTCGACTGTAATAATAAAGGATTAGATATTAGGAGTGTCCCTGGCCGAACTTTTCATTTAATTCAAGCGATTAATTTTTTTTATTTGAATTTCGTATTACAAAATACAAAGAAACTTTCAGGAATGTGTAATGGGAATTTAAATCGGCGAGTATTCATGCGTGCAGTTCGCTTGGGATCCATTGCACGAGAATTCGTAACAAATTGAATAATTAAGACAACACTATTGAGGGCATTAATTGAGAACAATATTCATCATACGGAGTACTATGTATCAATTACGTATACCAATACCGACTTTCTAGGCCGGAAAATAATCCAGAACCCAACATCCACTTGCAATTCACATTAGGGCATGTTTGGTAATGGCTGCAACGGCTGAAATGGCTGAAAGAGCTGAAATGACTGAAATTGTTGAAGTAAAAGTGTTTGGTAATATCGTGACTGAAATGGCTGATTCCGCGTGAAATTACAATAAAGGGTACCAATTTATTTCAATTCTAAAGGGGATCACTCTATACTGTTGCCGAAGCCACAGATTGTTCCAGAGAAACAAAAGCAATATGTTGGACTCTAAAAGCAATATGTTAAGGGAGACATTACACAGGAGCAATACGTAATACGGAGTATTAAACAAGATATTTAGCATAAATTTGAAAACATATTCAATAGCCCTTCTCACTAAATCGATGTATGAACAATTGGGGAGGAACAAAACCTCTAGTAATCATTATCATATATGATGGGAACAACTGGGAGCAACATGGGTTTGGAAAGAACGAAGAATAAGAGAAAGAGCTTACCTGTAGAAAAACTGGAGCAATTGCCGATGTATATTTAACAGAGGGATAAGATGGTCTTCTAATTAGCCAACCGTAAAATAATGCTTTTCAGCTCAAAAAGTAGCCATATACTTGTTTTTTCTACTGATAATAATTATCAGTCAAAGAAGCCAAATCTATGGGTGTTTGGCATTTTTTTCCAAAAATCAGGCTTATAAGCCCATTTTATGTCCTCCAAACGACCACTAAATGACAGAATAATTCAGTGCATCTCTCCATAGGATATACCAGGATCGACGTGCAATGCATTTAGGCGAGAATACTGTAGCAAAATCAATTTTCTATTATATTATACTACCTCCGTCCCGAATTGATTTGCAAATTTGACTTTTCTTGGTCAAACAGTTTCATTTTATTTGCTTAATTAGGATGTTGATTTTTAATTATATTCTAATTTGAAGTTTTCAACTTTAAAGAGAATTTAATGTAGTTTCTGAATATGTAAATTTTATTTATTAAAAATTGAGTTAAGTATCGATAAGGAGGTTTGACTTTTATTATTGGTTGACCAAAAAATGTTGGCTTTGCAAAACAATTTGGGACGGAGGGAGTAATAGATTATTTAACATCAACCTTCGTCGGACTACTATTTCTATAATAACCATTCAAATACTTTATTCCGACATATTTTTTATTTTGTAGTTGAAAATAATCTTTTAACAATTAGTAGCCATTGTTTACAAATATATACTCGTAAGATCTAACTATAACCTTATTTTTGTACAATGAGTTCCTTTGATTTTATAATCTTTTTTAATTGAACTTATCAGCTATGGCGTGCTTAGTATTCTAATTTCTTATATTTCCTTCTATATAAGAAATTGAACTTATACACAAAGGAGTTTTTTAAGAGGTTCAATAGGTTCTACAGAACAGATCCCTCGATTCATGGACCCCCAAATTTGTAATAATTTATTAGTATTATATAGTAATATTATATATTAACATTAATCAGTAAAATACTTGAGTAAGAAAGAAAAATACAGATCTATCATTTTTCGTCAGTCCTTTTACTTAAGATTCTTTTATTCAAATTGCTTGAGTAATGAGACGTGTTGCTTTAAATCAACACTAGTACAAAAAAGGCTCTTCACATCGGTTAAAAAAGGCTTTTCACATCGGTTCTACAACCGATGTTGTTCTAGCCCATGTGAAAAGTAGGCACTTTTAACATCGGTTCTTTAACCGATGTGAAAAGTTTATCTACATCGGTTGTTCAATAACCGATCTAGAAAATCGTACGAAACGGCGTTTGTAACTGATGTGTAAGAATCTACATCGGGTCTGAAATAACCCATGTAGAAAAGTTTCAATTTTTCTCGCATCATTGGGTATTTCACAGCAGTTATAACACATGTGAAAGAGCTTTCACATCGGTTATTTTACCAACCGATGTAGAAACACATAATATTTGGCTGTATCACAAGGCATTCCACATCAGTTATAACCCATGTAAAATAGAAATCACATCAGTGAAATTTCCGAAAAAATTGCACTATGGCCCCTATTTATACTATAATCATACCATTAACAAGATCATCAACTACTATAGCACAATTCTGCACCGGTTCAATTAATCAATCTAACACATTAACACAAACTATTTTTCGATTCTTGCACAAATGTAAAACAAGCATAAGTAACAACTTAGTACATAATAATAAGTTAAAATAAAACAATCCTTGCACAAGTCTAGAGTAATAATACATTGTCTAAAGTTACAAGTCTCATAATCGATCAATAACATAAAAAAATACGTTCATCATGTGTGTTTCATGGAATGCGCCATTTCTAAGAAATATGATGCCCAACGAGTTCGTACTTCATCAATATCTTCTCATGAGAATGGTTCAGGATCGGCGAACGAATTGCTACAAATTCAATAAAAAGGTTATTAGAAAACATTACATGGAGCAAATCCAATTGAATGTAAATAAAATAATCCCACATTTCAAGAAAAACTGCCGAAACAATATTTAACATATTACATTCGATACATAATCCACATTCATAATCCACGAAACATAATCCACATTCATAACTCCCAACTTGCATTCAATACTACAATTTAGAACATAATTACTTATTATGAGTTATGGTATACGGCTATGTGCTCCACAAATAAAAGTAAAAATAACATAAGTGAACTGGACCACACTCAATATAAGTATTGATGAACAAATATGGATACAGGAGAGTAACACTTTTATTTACAAAAAATACCATGAATAAAGGAAGCACATCTATGGAAAAATACATAACAAAATGAAAAATAGCAAAAAGATAGAAACTTCTAATCTGAAAGAGACCTGGTCCATTTCCCTTGTAAAGTGCCTTCCATCCTTAGCTTCTTCTTTCATTATGGTTACGAAAGCATCTGAAGTTATCAACATATCAGAACAATGAACTAGTACTGTACTAGAAGATAAATAGGACCTAAACATTATACTTACCATCCATTAATAACAACTTGGTAGGAAAATGGTGCAATAATGCCATGGCATAAACCGAATACAGTTTTATTCTATAGTCTTTTTTCCGCTTATTTATAAGTACGTGTTTAGTCTTACTAAATATACTATACACTTATGAATGTTCATTTATCCAAATTTTGCATTTAAAGTTCATGTATATAATAGAAATCCAGACATTACGTACTATGTTCTAAAACTATGTAAGTACCAACTGTTAAAGACAACTTAGGAGTTGGGACATCCCAGGGAAAATATGCAACCCAAAAATGAACTGGACCAATCAGGAATTAAAATAAGATTAGACATGATAAAATAGCACCCTCTCAAAGTAGAAGAATCTACATCACAGTAAACAATATAAATAAATGGCAATTAGCAAGCCAAAGTACGGGTGAAGCGAACCATGAAATCCAGAAGGACAAATATGATGCTATGAAGTCTGTTGTTGCAATCTTGTCTTCACAAGCCATAGAGGATTGGCGCAAAAGCATACATAGTAAGAAAAAAACAACTCTAAGCATAACTAAAATTTCACATTTAGGAGATCAACTAAACACTTCCTGAATACAACGATCAAAATAATAATCAACTAAGTTGCACTTTATATTTCAAAACTAAGTAATTCTGCTATTGCCAGGATAGATATAAAAACTGCAAAGTTTTGATAAGAGTGTAAGACACTAGTGTATGATAGATGATGCTTGCATACTCTCCTTAAAAATCACACTAACAATGAAAACAATTGACTTAAAACAGTGTTCCATCAAATGAACATATAAATTTTAATACTAACCAGAGCTCCAAGTTCAAAAGCTGAAGCAAGATGAGAATCAGGGCTTAGCTCCTTCCTGTCTTTCATGTATCTTTGTTTTGTTATAAGTTTATAACTACATGAGATGGTCCATTTAGCAAGTTATGTTAATAATCCAAAAAGAAGCAGCCTAACAATCTGGTGGTTCCCGAGGCATCATTTGAGGAAACCATATGGAACGCGAGCTATCTATACCACACAGTGGCGGACCCAGAAAAATAGAGTCACGGGGTCCCTACTCTAATGTTACTCTAGTTAATATATAATTAAAAGAATAACATGATAAAAAATGCAGCATCTTAAAAGGGAAATAACGTGATAAACAAAATGTAGCATCTGAAAACTCTATTTCCCAGAAATGGTCACCTCCAACTTCCCACTTATTCTCTAAAAAAAATAACATGGTAAAGAAATAAGAGCATATTTGGCAATACTTTTTTCAACCATTTATGTTCATCAAACTAACTTGAAAAAAATCTACGTCTTTTCCACTCAATTATCTTAAAAAGGAAATAATGATCCCGAGGGTGAAACAACCCTTCTTGAACATTAGGACGAAAATCAACAATTTTTCCTCCTAAATCTATGATGAGCTTCCAAAGATTCAAAATCAACATGTTATTTATGTAGATTATATGCCAAATTACTTTGACTTTCAGCAATTACTTGATTCAATTCTTCATTTACTAATGGCGAATCATTTGAATTAACATCTGAACTACACATGGTACTCCAAATTCTTTTAAATCTGGATGCACTATCGAAACATATATTCATTCTAAATCGTAAAATATTGGATAAAAAACATTCCTAAGTACACAAAAACAAAAGAAAAATCTCTAAATAGGACTAAAATATGGATAAAGTTCAAAAACAGGACTATAAATGTTTTAATGCAAAAGTAGGAATCATTCACTCTTATTTTGGGAAGCTTTAATCAATTTATTCTTTTAATAGTGTTGCAGAAGTCTTATTTGGGAAATATAACATATTTAGTCATATTTTTGAACTGTGTATATGTTTTAGTCCTATATTGAGCAATTTCTATTCAATCTTAATATTCAAAAAAAGTTTACTAACTAATCCCCAAAAATGAAGTGTGTAAAGGATAAACAATAAAATATGGGAATTGAAAAACCAATAAAAGTTAAAAATGAAATATGGAAAGTTGAAAAAAACAAAAAATGGGTAGGGGGAGTCGAACCCTGACCTCATCAAGAAGAAACGCTTCTCTTTAACCTGTACTCCCGTTCCACTGCACAAGCCTTTTGGTTCTAGTGTAGCTTTCGTTAGTTATATACATTGATTAATTAATTTTATGTGAAATAAATATAATATATAGGTATTTTTTGGAGGTGCACGGGTCTCGGGACCCGTGGGACCCTTAGTGGGTCCGCCACTGATACCACATGAACATGCTGAATACAATCACAATAGTTTAGTTGTTATAGGAATTTTACAGTCAAACGAATTTTACACACAAGCATATACATCAATATTCAAGGAAGTATAACACTCAAAATATTCAACCATTCTGAATTATTATATACTACGTATATTTGTACTAATATTATGATTCATCAACATAACCAGGCTTCTAGGGACGGAACTTACAAGTAGAAATATTAGCTCCATTAAATAGTTGATTCAAGAACAGGAGGGGAAAAACCTGCATAAAGCCCTCTTAAGCCCTGGAGAAAAATCAAAATACTAACAAAGAAGCATATTAAAATGCAAATTACGCTTTGTACAGACAAGAAAGCACAAATATAAATAGGAAAGTTTATATTTAGTTGTTATAGGGAAGTTCTTTTTTAAATTTTATTTCACTTCCTTAACTTGAAAAATATAAATATATCATCACTTCAAATTATATAGAAAGCTCGATGATTTTAAATTCAGGTATTAATTTAAGAAATACATAATAGATTCATAAAGATTCATAATTCGAAGAAATGTCAAAAGCCCCAAGTAAAATATCAATTTATAAACCAAGCAAAATGTAAAATTATAATATCAAGTAAAGAGTTTGCTTGACTCTTCGAAACAGTCTCAAACCTCCCGTTATTATTCAATTCAATTTATTTAGTAAAAAGATGGCTTAATTTTTCAAAATACTCAAGCATTTCAACAAACACCTGGTCTGCAATGTCAATTTTAGCTCATTCAATAACTCATTTAGATGTCACATAGAGCTCAAACGATGTTGGACCCGTTGGGTTACTGTTAAATTTATTCAGCAAAACAGTAGGCTTGATTCTTCAAAATACTCTCAAGCAAATACTCTCAAGCATTTTATCAAATACCTAATCTACAATATCAATTTTAGGTCATAATAATACGAAACCAAAAGTACAGAACTAATATCAGGAATACATGCAGTAATGACCGTTCAGAGGTTGTATTCACGCTCTTCGCCTGCTCCGGTGGTGGCCTACTCTGTTCGCGGTTGCTCTGCCTGCAACAGTGCGGCTTAGGGCATGCTACGCTGACTGCCCTGTCTGCTAGGCACCTGCGCCGCTTGCTGACAACATCGCTCACATACAGAACCATTTGAGTCGCTGGCTGACAGCGTCGCCTGCCTATAGCATTGCCTGCGCCGCTCGCAAACAGCACCGCCTCGCCAACAGATCCGCTTACGCCATTCTGCGTCTGTCCGCTCACGAACTGCTACGCTCGCATCTTGCTACTCTCACAGACTGCTACACTTGTCACCTTCTCCGCTTATACGTTTACGGGATTGCTGAATTTATGAATGTCTGGGGAAGGTCTGTCGATAGGTTAGGAGATAGGAATACAATGTTAAACTAATCTACATCAACTACCGGTGTACCCGATCTGGAATAAACATTCCCTTTTTCGGTCAAGCTTCTAACTCGGCTATAACACATGCTAAAAGTATGAAAAATTCTAGGGGTACACGATTTGTGTACACCCTTGACACCCCATTTAAATACCTTCCCTTTTTTACCTCACTTCCTCTCCTTCCCAACTCAAATTTTTACCCTATTTTCTTTTGTCTTCCATCCATCCCAATTCCCGCCCCATACTCCCGCACCCACTCCACGATTCGGACCGGCAGCGACACCATCTACGCCGAACCCATCCAGCGACGCCGGACGACAACCGAAGCATCCATCTACGCCGGACTGCTCTGCTCTGGAGAAACGAAGATCGTACCTCCAGGCGCTACTCCTCGTTCCTCGCGACGCCAACCGAAGCATCCATCCAACCGAGGTCAGGGTGCTTACCCATCCGCCTGGTGCTCTGCTCCAACTCTACGAGGCGCTTACCCATCCTCCTGACTGCTCTGCTCCAACTCTCTACGAGGCGCTGGTCCAAGTTCAACTAAAAAGACGATAACTTTGAAGCCATGGTGCGAACAAGTTTAACCGATCTTGCTAAAAGGTAATATTTTCATCCTTGTGCAGTACTCACCTTACCATAATTGATTTGATTTAATTAAACTACATCTAATTTTCTTTATGTGATTTAAGAGTTGCCTGATATGTTGTTAGTGTGTTTTGAGATGTCTATGACATGTTCTGAATTGTCTGTCATTCATATTCCTGTGTCTGTTTTTTTTTGTAGTTGTCTGTCAAGTGCTTAGAATTGTCTGTCTCGTGTTTTCAGTTGTCTGTCATTTGTTTTGAGTTGTCTGTAACAACTTTATAATTGTCTGTCATGTTTTCATTTGTTTGTTGTTCATATATCCTTGTATGTCTTGTGTTGTGAGCTGTCTGTGAAGAATTTTTAAATGTCTGTGCTGTGATACATAGATGTCTGTCATTCTTATTGAGTTGTCTGTCTCATTTTGTGTGCATATAATTGTTGTCTGTCTGTATGTCCTTTACCATTAAATGTAGGTGGCAAATGTAGTCGCATGTGATATGAATGCTTCTGTACCTTCTCATGAGGTTCATGAATCTGTAGCAGAAATTGAGAATCATGTGGAAGTAAGTTTTATTGTGTTTCCAACAATAGAACATGTTTCCCCTTTCAATGCTTTTCTGAATGTCTGTCTTTCCTTTATTTTTGTCTGTCTGATATATTATTTGTCTGTCTGTATGTCCTTTACAATTAAATGTAGGTGGAAAATGCAAATGCAGCTCATATGAATGCTTCTGTACCTTCTGATGAGGTTCACGCTTCTCTAGCTGAAATTGAGAAGCATGTGGAAGTAAGTTTTATTGTGAATGTCTGTCATTCCTTTATTTTTGTCTGTCTGATATATTATTTGTCTGTCTGTATGTCCTTTACAATTAAATGTAGGAGGAAAATGCAAATGCATCTGATTTTTCCCGTGTTTTGATCTTTTTAGTAGCCTTACAGTGCCTTACAATAAAAGCATCTGTGCGCATACGGTGACTTTGATCAGCCCTTACGTTGTGGTATGCACCTTTTTTTCCCCGTGTTTTGATCTTTTTAGTAGCCTTACATTTTTTTTATGTTATGTTTGTAGCATAAAATCCTTAAGAAAGAGATAGGCAACGACACACATTGGCATGGAGATAAATACCTGAAAAAGCTGGACTGGAAAAGTTTTTTTAGGGTATTGTCTGTCTAAGTTTTGTAAACGTCTGTCTGTTATTATTTCGCTAGTATTTTGTCTGTCTCGATAGAACACCTAGCATTTTTGATGAATTGTTAATTCTTGGCAGGTTTTGTTTCCTTTAAATATTGAAAACAAGCATTGGATCTTGGTGGAAGTTGTGATTCGGAGCAGACTGGTTAGAGTTTACGACTCGCTTAAGACTTCTAGGACTCCATTTTATGCTAAGGACTTGTGTGAGCGGCTGCCATACCTAGTTCGTGACACGGGTTTGTGTACGAATGACAGTGATTTGCAACCGTGGAAAGCAGTAGCTGTGGATGGTGTGCCACAACTAAAAGAATCGTATGAAATTCAATATTAATATGAATAACATTTATTGTCTGTGTAAGTGTTGTAACTATCTGTCTGGGATAATTTTGTCTGTTTACAGGTTGGGTGAATGTGGCGTGATGGTCCTTGCTTTTGCAGAGCAGCTACTCCAAGGGAAATCATTGCTTCCTGATTGCGACTATGGCAACATGTCGAACAAAAGACTTGAGTAGGGTATTCGGCTTTGGCGCTTGAAGAAGAAAGATGCGTAGAGTGTTGTAGACTTCATTTTTATTTGTCTGTGTGTGTACTATTTTACGTTTAACGTACATGTATTGTCGGTGTTTTGCTCGACACATTAAGTCAGTCCGGTTATGTTTATTGTATGTGTACGTATGTGCATTGTCTGTCTATAATTCGAAGCAAACTAACGTTGATAATTCATAAGAAACTAACCTTTCCATCCAACTCGTTATCATTCACAAACATTACGTTACTACGGGATAATAATGTTCAATTCACAAAATATAGTACATGATAATTCACTGCCACAAAACACAATTCATGCTGCCAGAGTCCAGACAGACAATTGCTTCTGCCAGACAGACAAATATTGTTTATTAGACAAAACTCCTTTGCCAAAACCAAATACGAAACGTCTGGCATTCACAAATATTGTCTGTTACACATAACTCTTTTGCTAGGACCAGACACGAAATGTCTGATACATACAAATATTGTCTGTCCGACCTAACTCTTTTACCAACCCAGACACAAAATGTCTGGCACAGACAAATATTGTCTGTCAGACAAAACTCCAATGCCAAAAAGTCAAGCATGAATTGTCTGGCACACATAAATATTGTCTGTTAGACAGAGCTATAATACATTATATGTAAAATACATTATCACCATATTGGTCATCTGAATCTTCACAAATCTAATTACATGTGGGGTTACATAACTATAATAAAGAGCATGAATCTTGAGACCATGTTAATCTTGTCCACATTCTCCCAACACTATCCGAGTATACTAGCAAGTCATTTCCATGATCACCACTTTGACGCTCTTCAAACGTGTGACACATAGGCTCCTCCATCTCGTGACCATGTGAATTTGAGGTCTTTATTGTCCATCTTAATAACCTGTAAAAGTTTCAGTCTTCACTACTAGAGAAGAGATTAATCCTACCGGAAGGAGTACACTCCTGTGCAAGTCCATAATGAAGTAATATAAAATGGTATATTATCATAATGAAATAACAAAGAGAAGAATGACAGGCTTCATAAATCCACAAGGTGACCTCCACTTATGCTTACCAAACATCAATATTTCTATTTTATTCCACATAGAAATAATTGTATGTGCAACCCAAAAAATGTTCTTTCATCAAATACAATATATGCAATCCCACTCCAACTTCAAACCACACAAAAATGCGAGAGTTCCTTTTCTAACTACAAACATTCACATTCATACTGAGTACAATACCAATTGTAGAAATACTTCATAGCACAATGTTTTGTGCACTGGACATTACAAGACCGGAATGTCAATAAGCCGTAGAATACCTAGTATAGCCCTAATGCTTAAAGGAGACTATAACAGTGAACAATATTCCAGAGCCATGAACCCATATCTACTTTATATGTTTTTTTGCATTTGCATATGCATTCGGAGTAAGGTATATTTCAAAAGAATCCAAGAGGACTACTCAAATAGTCACGTATGAGTATGTGTGTGTTCCCCCTTTTCTTAAAACAAAAACTGTTTAGTGTAAAAAATACAAGATAATAGAAGAGAGCATGCCTAAAAGAAAAAGAAACTAGCAAGTCCAGGGAACATAATGTCTCCAGACTCCAAACCTAATCATATCAATGGAGTAACTTTCTAGATACAACCCGCAAGTTGAACTTCAAGCTCAAAAGAGCCCATTTGTAACTCTTTCTTGATCAAATCCAACAAAGGAGCCAATTTGTAACTCTTTTGCTATAAAAACCTAATTTGGCTAAGGTTTAACACTAAATTTCAAAATACAAAATAGCAAATTTACAACAATAAAACAGTAAAGTAGTTAAAAAACACCACTATACCTATTTTGAATTGGAAAAGTATAAAACAAAATCTTAAAGTCATCAAACATAGTATCACATAAACATAAAATTCATTGAATCATTTCAACAAACATGTTATGGGCATAGTGATAACATGGTATATTTGGATAAAAATTTCAACAATAATCATCACAAATTTATCTCAATGACACAAAATAATCAAACATTCAACATTACTACAAATATAACACATGAAGTAAAAAAAATTGAAAGAAAAACGAAATAAGGAAGAAGGGGACATACTGGATGGGACGGGTACAGACCAGAAAGAGATAGAAGAGAGGGACGAGGCATTCGGTCACCAGACCTTCACTCCCTGTACACTTGATCTTCACCGGACCGATTATGGTGTATCAATCGCATTAGAGCTTTGAGGGGTTAGATGAGGGAAGAACAAAGAATCAACCCAAACGAGAACCAGTGAGAAGTAAAAGAAATGGGGTGTTTTTATATTATGATTTAGACCTCCATGAAAGGAGAGAGCTAGAGCTTTTGAAATGAAGAAGAGAGGAAAAATGGGGCTGAAACGAAAAAAGAGGCAGAAGGGGATAGCGGAAGATGGAAGAGAAACGGAAGAGAAGACTGGAGTAAAAGATGGTAAAAATAGGGTGCCTTTTATATGGTGTGCCAATGGTGTACACATTTTGTGTACACCTAGCATTTCTCTAAAAGTATTTTTAATAACATCAAAATGTACCCCACTATATGTTTTACATCGGTTAAATCTACAACCAACGTGGAATACTTTATAAAATTATGAAATATACCCCCATTTCTTAAGTTAACATCGGTTCTTTAACTAACCGATGTGAAATAGTTTACAAAAATTATAAAATGATCCCATGTCACTAATTCACATGGGTCGTACAATAACACATGTAAAAAGTCTGATGTAAAAAGGGTTTTTTGTACTAGTGCAAGTATAAAGTAATGTTTAAAATTTTTTATTATATTATTTAATGAGTATTTAATTGATTTGAGTATAAGTATTAAGGTTAATTTTTTTATATTTTTTATATTAATGTGGGACCCCGATTTTATATTTGGAATTGGGGCCACCAAATTCACGAGAACATGATCTAAGTAGAAAAGTAAGAATGAATTTGAAACATCAAATTTCGTAGTTGTTCATTATGTGAAATAGAAATCAGCGCTGCTATAAATCAGAAAATGATGTGGCATTTTGTAGATAAGTTAGAAAATGATGTGGCATTTTCTAGATAAGTTTTACCTTTTATACCCTTTTGCAGTATACATTGTTTTAATTATATGTGTGCACATCCATTAATAATGATCTACATCGTTTCATATCATTCTTATTTCAGTATAATTTTTATTAGAATACATCTGAGTGGGGGTTTGGAAGTTTAATAGCTTTTGTTTAATGGTGTTGTCACATGTCATTTTTTTCTACAAAAGATGGTGTCGCGTGTCAATTATTTATCCAAAGAGCTCTCCAAGAGTTACCCATGACTTTTGTCTTCTTTATTTTCCATTTTCTATTAACTCACTGCTAAAGCTTTATTAATGTAAAACAAAATATACACTTGTATTTGAAAGTTTGCAACTTTTCTTCAAATTATGTCTTACGCATTTTCCAATCATGTGATCTATATTTCAAATATAACAAAATTCATCGTATTCCATAAATTAAATAAAAATACTCTACACTTGCATATTTTTCCTACACAATTTCCGTTTTTATCAAATGATTTACATCAGCCAATACTTTTTGTGTCAAAGAATAATATATAATCAGACAATAGTACATCGCATATTTTTCACATGTTATTTACATTATTATAATTACAAAATATGTAGCAGACTTGTATATTTAATTTGACACACGCAATTTACATTTTATATAACTTGTTACATATTTGACACGCATATATGTTGGACCATTTGGAAAAGAAGAAATGGGTACATATATGATGATCATGATATGATTCTTTCTGAGGCTATTGAGTCTATCAATAAGGACATTCGGGATATGAGTAAGGTCAAACCTTTCCTTACGAAAGCCGTAGACCCCCCATTGATGTTAAGTATGATAAACCCAAATTGAAACCTCCCAAGCATTTTAGCTATCCGGATTGCAACCTGGAGCAAACCCCTTGATGGAGTATATGATCTGGGACCCCCTAGGACCACATACTCATGCAATCTAGACATCCAGTGGAAGCCCCCGGCACCCCTCGGTCCCTCGGCTATGATGTCCTCGGTACCCTTCAGCTATGATGCCCTCGGCACCCCTCGGCAGTACCCCTCGGCTATGTCATGCCCTTGGCCATACATGAAGCTTTCGGCCATACATGAAGCCTTCGGCCATACATGAAGCCTTCGACCATACATGAAGCCTTCAGCCATACATGAAGCCTCCGGCCATACATGAAGCCTTCGGCCATACATGAAGCTTTCGGCCATACATGAAGCCTTCGGCCATATGATCCAGGCCGGAGGGTCTACGCTCTACGAAGCTTCCTCTGGAGGCAAGCAACCACCGCATTCAATGCGGCGTCACATCCACCCACCGCATTTAATGCGATGCACATGCGGGTGTCGGTGCCACCCCGATTGAGGTGACCCCTCGGTCGTCAGATTGTTGACACGTGTACTCTCATCGCACTTATGGCTGCTATAAATAGCAGCCCTTATTCCTCTTGTAGATCAGAAGTTCATTAATAACACATGACTCTCTCTCTCTCACTCACTTGTTTGATCTGACTTCTCTCTAGGTTATTCTCATAATAACCCCCCGGATAAGTTACCCCCCGGGTACACTGTCCATCACCCCTGAATGGCTCCATAAAAATCAACATAGCCTTTGGTACCGTGAGGGTTGGTGACACTATCTCTGGTTTGATTATTAGGGACCACAGAGGACAAATGCTTCCCTACAAATCTAATACTCATATCCATTATGATTGTAACTTCAATATTTGTGATTCTTTGATCAAGCTGTAGTACGGGATTCGAGAGATGAACTACACTAATGTCATTATTTAATGTGATAATTTATAGGTAACAAATCATATAAGGAAGCAATAGGCCAACATGGAAAGCGATTGCAATTCAACGAGTATAAAGAGAAGTATCAAGACGACAAGTTGTGCTACTCTCACATTATGAAAGCTTGTAATAAGGCTGCTCACTATGTTGCGGTTAACGCTGTTATGTTTGCTAATAAACCCGAACACTTATAGCAAGCTCATAGGCATTGTCAAATTTGATGCTATTAGTTACCCGTATGTTATCTAAGGCGGTAGGTTTGGTGTCACATCCCCCTACCATGTATCTCTCTTTGTTATCTAATAAATTGATAATTTGGTTTGAAAAAAAAAAGGTATTAATAAATTACACTTCCTTGTCCAAAAAAGGCTTGTCATATTGACATTTTTTGTCAATGATGATCATGTTTTACCAATGATATTTATTAAGAGAAAAATGTGCACCATGGTGCATTTAAAACAATTTGTATTAAGAGTTGAAAAGCAAGAGGTGAAAAGGTGAAACCTTATGAGTGAAAAGTAAAACTTGGAAAATATTAAATACTTTGTAAAAATGAATGAAAAAGAATGAAAAAGTTGGTAGCACCTATTTGGGAATCTTTGTAAAAGAGAATCAAAAGTTGCAATTATTCAATAGGTGAATTTTATTAGTGAAAGGTAAAATTTATTTTCTTCGCACGATATGGTGATGTTGGTCTTATGGGAGATCAGCACCACCATTTGATTCAAGACTTAACCGCCCAACCTGTTGGCACCACGATGTGGTGCAGCTCCTCATGTCTATCCACCGCTCAGTAGTAGGGTTCTGCACTGCCGTAGTGAACCGTGGGGGTGCCCCACATGAATCTATCTTGACTTGGGAACTACAGAGTAATGAGTTAAATAGAGGGTGCCCAGTTCCTTATCATCAATTGGTTTTAAAAAAGATATGACTGCTATTTAATCACAGAACTCTGCAGTTAAGCGAGCCCGCAGTAAGAAAGTCCAAGGATGGGTGACCCACTGAGAAGTTTGTCGACAAGGGTGAATCGATCCAACAGGTGAGCAAGCTTGCAAAGAAAGAGTAAATGAGTGTGCTAAAGTATGTTGGCATATTGACAAAAACATGTATTAATAAATAACACTCTCTTGTCCAAAAAAGGCTTGTCACATTGAATTTTTTTTGTCAATGATGATCATGTTTTACCAATGATATTTATTAAGAGCGAAATGTGCACCATGGTGCATCTAAAACAATTTGTATTAAGAGTTGAAAAGCAAGAGGTGAAAAGGTGAAACCTTATGAGTGAAAAGTTAAACTTGCAAAATATTAAATACTTTGTAAAAATGAATGAAAAAGTTGGTAGCACCTATGTGGAAATCTTTGTAAAAGGGAATCAAAAGTTGCAATTATTCAATAGGTGAATTTTATGAGTGAAAGGTGAAAATTTATTTTCTTCGCACCATATGGTGATGTTGGTCTTATGGGAGATCAGTACCACCCTTTGATTCAAGGCTTAACCGCCCAACTTGTTGGCACCACGACGTGGTGCAACCCCTCATGTCTATCCACCGCTCAGTAGTGGGGCTCTGCACTACCGTAGTGAACCATGTGGGGTGCCCCACATGAATCTACCTTGACTTGGGGACCACAGAGTGAGTTAAATAGAGGGTTTCCACTTCCTTATCACCAATTGATTTTAAGAAAGATATGACTGCTATTTAACCACATAACTCTGCAGTTAAGCGAGCCCGAGGTAAGAAAGCTCAAGGATGGGTGACCTAATGGGAAGTTTGTCGACATGGGTGAATCAATCACAACATGTGAGCAACCTTACAAAGAAAGAGTAAATGAGTGTGTTAAAGTGTGTTGGTGGCACCTTTGGGTGGAGAATTAATTTCCTCATTACGTGCATGGAAAGAAAAATGAAATAGAAAAATTAATGATTAGGCTACACGGGAAAAGAAGGTCACATGATTGTAAAAAAAAAAACATTTCTATTAAAAGGTTTAAATATGGTTTTAGTCCCCGCAAATGTGATACAATTTGTTTTAGGTTCCTGTGAAATATGTTTTTTCATCCCTGCAATATGCGTTATTTTGATTTTAGTCCATATCTAACTCCGAAACAACTCTGCGTAGATTTTTTTTATTTCCGGTTGCATAAATCTACTAGAAGCATTTATATTTATCATTTTATATTTTTTTAGGCTAACCTACGAGTTAAAACAATATAAAACTAATTATTCACATTTTTAAATACGTATTAAAAACCATGTAAAAATGAATTCAAATACTTTTTTAATGACATGAAAAATATTTAGAGGAAACTCACTAATCAGAGTTGTTCCGTTGTCAAATGGAGGTAGTTATCATTCATTATGAATTAAAAAAATCGTAATAAATTTCAGAGATGAAAAGTAAAAAAAAAATTGTAGGGACTTAAAACAAAGCGTATTATATTTGAAGGAATTAAAAAAAATTTAAAATCTTTATTAAATGTTATAACATTTTTATTTGTATTTTAATTTTCACAAAAAATAGATCAAAAGCCATTCACATGATGAGAACTCTTCTTGTCAGGTCGGCCTGACGGGAACCTCCGTCCGGCCGAGCCCGTTTGGGCACCTTTCCGGTGGAATTTTTTGATGAAATATTTTGAGCATGTTCCTCATC